TCCGGATCGTCCACCGTAGGGACGCCGAAAGTAGGCGCCAAGACTGGTGTAGCAACCGGGGCCTCTATTGTGGCATCACCCGGAACGGGCTGAGACGAAAGCGAGTCGACTAGCGCTGTATCGTAGTCGACCCGTCCCTCGGCCGCCTTCAGGACTTCTGTCAGAGACCTCAGCTGCGGTAGGCTCTGGTTGATGTCTCCTGACAATATCTTTGCTACCCCCAATGTCATGCCGTAGAATCTCTCATTTTCATCCCTCCGCTCCTGAAGGATGGTGCCATCCAATTTCACGTCCGAATATTGCCCCTTTGCCTTCACATACGTGATAGCAGCGTCGCTCAAGTCGGTCCATGTGACATCGTTCTCGAGCAAACCCAGTGACACCAGTGGACCTGTAGATAAAATGACGTCTGTGCCAAGTGTGAACTTGGGCCGCGCAAACGCTTCCAGAACCGTGAAATTGTTGATGATTAAAACGCAATCGTATATATCCACGCCGATGACGAAGCCCAAACTTGGTGTCTGTAGCACCAGACCGGACGGCGGAGACCAGGTGCCATCGGTTTTCCGCGCGATCAAGATTCCGCTGCCTCCGGAGCCTGAGGTCCATAGGCCCGACCGCATGGACGTGAAAATAGCCAGCGCGACGGCGTTTTGTATCAACCTCGGGGGAATCTTTTTTAATATTTTGCTCGACGATTGCATGCTCGAATGTGTCAAGGGACTTCCGGGCCGTTCGTCGGGTGTCGAGAAGCCATCGCCTGTTTGTTTGGTCAGTGTCAGTAAGCAGGGAAGCTGTCACGGGGCCCGGCTGTTCTCGGCAGTGCACGGTGTCTGTCGGACGTACTGCAAAATGACTTCAATATGCGAGCAGCCTTTTCGCATTCTCTATCGAGCGTGGTAGGCCAGAATGCTTCCTTGGCCAGTCGGGAAGAACGGGACGAGGGGATTTTATCAGCCCACCCGCGCACCTTTTCGACGCTGTTCTTACGAATATGACTGTGACTGCTGGTGTAACTACTAGCGCTCGACCTATTACGATCCCAGCTCGGGAGGAGGGACGAAACCCGCTGCATCGCGATCGAGCCGGTGAGCCGGTACAGGCAACACGAGCGGCGGTCGCTCTTGTAGCGACGGCGAAGGTGCCCAACACAACTTACTGGCCAGTTGTTGAAATCGCCAGAGAACTGATGACTGGTCTCGGGACCAAAGAATTTCCATCCAGGATATTAGGTAAATTGGGCCGGTCTGACTGGAATGAGAGGAGAGGGCTCGATTTACGTGTAAGCGCAAACAGTGTGTAACAGCAAGCGGATCAAGGTAGGTAGACAGTCTATGAGCAGCAGATCATTGGTTTAGTCTAGGTATAACAAGGTTTCGCTTATGACCTCGCGACCTTGCGACGGCGAGATTGAAGAGTGACCATTGAGCACGGAGCACGGGGCACGGGACTCGATCAGAGGGGAACAGAAAGCTGGAGTGAAATACAATACGTAAGGATGGGCTTGCAGATCGTGGATTGTCAGTGTCTGCAGGTCAACAGTGACGTTTTTGGGGCTTGTCAAGACAGGCAGACAGGGTGGGCAACCCAGTTGTAGGAGCGAGCTAGTGGTGTGCTCCAGTAGGGCCAGGCGCAACCCCTGGGGACCCGATGCTGCTTGGCACTAAAGACGGACAGGTACTTACTTCTTTCACAGCAGACATACGCAATTCGCATGTAGGCAGGCAGTAACTAGGTTGTAGCCGACAGTGGTGTGGTCCTGAAGGCGCAGTAGTGTCTCTACTAACTTAAAAGGAATCTGCCTGACGTTGGAACCTTGAAGCTGTATGCAGAAGCTTCACATTATTTGCAGTACGGGACTTACTATACAAGAAGTACAGCGCAGCTGTTTTATTTACCTTACATACAGCAGCAATACTAGAGGTCGTTATACCAACAAGTAAGTAAGCCCGCTTATGATGTGAAGAGCCCGAGCCCCGTGCAACCGGGAACCAAAAGGCAGGATATCCTCGATAACAATAACAAATCTGACCCATCGCGCGCAGAGTTTGAGGCGTCTGGATGACCGAGGTATCGGCATTGGCAAGACATACGATACAGTAGGTACATTCATAGATTAGCTTTGGCGCCGAGGGTAATAATCGATAGATCCTCACCTGTCTAACGAGCCACCCGTTTTCCCCCTTCGGAATGGTTTGCTGCGGAGAGGGGCGCGGTCACTCCTTCGAAATTCAGGAACATCTCGTGGTTCTCCACAGACCATGAGATGGGGTGGAGGGGCAGTGCGTCGCGGTGGTAATAGATTAGAACAGGTACTGTATGCGCGTACTTATAAAGGGAAACCCCTGGTTAGATAGAGGGTTAGAGGCAGGCTGGCCCAAGCAGAAGGGCGAAGACGGTTACGGGAATGACGGAAATGATCAAACCACTACAATTCTTCTGCTTTCTTTCTTTCTAATAATTGTTCTCTGCAGGCTGGCTGAGTGGTCTGCATATGGTGCATTGTACTTAATCTGTAATCGTTGCATCGCTTGACACAATCAGAGACACTATGGAAACGTCGCGTCGTATGTGATGTCTCGCCTCGCCTTGCCTTGCATTGGCTTACTCTGACAACTGCGAGTAAGTAATAATATCTTGTGTTGTATCGTAAAGCTGATAGCTCAACGCCACTAAGTAAACAAAGCATACGCTCTTACATACTCGGTCTCACAGTATGTCCTGGACTAGCGTAAGGATAGTATTCTATTGCCAGTTGATGAAAAAGTGGTAACTCGAGAGACGTCGAATATAGGACGAGATAGTCAGCACACGATCAAACGCAGAACCCCACTGTCGGTGCTAATGACCGACTCAATCCGAGACACTGCAGCAAATCTACGCTGCTTCTTGTCGATTCCCCATCCTTTTGGCTCATGCCCCTTCGGCAATGTGTCTCAGAAAGCCATCTAACATGCAGTCCAGTCATTGACTAAAACACATAGATGGATATTTCCCTGCCAAGCCGGCTGGTTAACTCATACTATACCTATCAATTTTTAGAAAATTACCGCCAATCATCAACTATGAACTTGATATGTTTCATGCACTAGTCACGCCTCATTCACGATTTCACATGACTCGTTCTTGTTTAAATTGTCGCTATGACCGAAGCGTAGAAGGAAGAAGAAGGAGATGAAAAAAAAATCAAAAACGAAGAAAGGAAAACCCCTGCCCAATTATCCCTGCGGCTCTAGCCGAAACTCCCGGATCGGCAGCTCGAGACCGGATTCCAATTCAGAAGTCTCCATCGTCGGCCGAGAAGAGAATAAGCAAGGCTTGAGTGAGGTAATCCGACAATACCACAGTACCACAACAACTCGACCCCCAATGCGACCGCTATTACCTACTTGTTTGGGGGCTATCACTGAAGGACGGCGGCAAACATAAACACCTCTTTTCGAAGGCAACGAAGCCTGCCGTGGCTTATGGCATTTTACTTACTTAGTGCCTGTCTGCCTGCCTAGGTACCTATCTAGTGCACTTGACATTTAATATAGTAGATTACAGATTGCACACAACTTCCACGAATAGCCCAGTCAAAGTACTTTATATGCCTTGTTTACATACCTACTGTTGTATCACCTATCACATATACCTAGATGACTGTTTACCTTGCAGGTGTCCAGTCTTGGCGACTAAGGATTTATTTTCTTCAAAAAAAAAAAGAAAAAAAAAAAAAAAAAAAAGAAGGAACTTGGAACTTGGATGCATCGCCGAAACGACGGGTCCCCCAAGGTCCCACCACGCTAATGAGTTGTCTCATCAGTCAATCCGCGGTGTTGGGATTCAACGTTCCCCGATCATAATTAATTTTTTTTCTCCTACTACGATTACGAGCAAGGCTATCCCGACCAGCGATCCCCGACCCGGGCAAACCGCTCGCTTACGACTTGACTAGTATGCAACTAGAATAAGTAGGTACATACGCAATGTTATGTTTCATATTTTTTGGTGGGGGATTCGTTTGTTCATCAGATCAACCTAGCCGACAATTGTGCAACGGGGTTGTAATTAAATGCTCTCTGGCCTGACCGCCCGTTGGATCGCAAATCAATCGTCGTAAATGAGTAGACCAGTCATCACCGGGATTACCGAGGGCCTCACCGACTTTAGCCATTGCATCGTATTATTGCTACTAACAACAACAACAACAACGACGACAACAACCCGATGTTGACAAGTAGGTAGGTACTCGAATTCGTCACTGGACACCCGTGTATCCGCGGATCACACCCAAGATACTCTCTCCCGTCCAATGGGCGATTTCGTCCGTGCTGGATTTGTGCACTCTGCCTCGATCAGCTGATGACAAGCCAGATAGGTACGCTCGGACGTTTTCGCTAACCTGCAATGTAAAATGCGTGTGCAGATGCAGTGTACACTAAGTACAGTACTGTACGTAGGTAGGCAGGCCATTATGTATCTGATACCCTACACAACAGCACGTAGGGACCTTGTCAGCAGGATTCCACTGCTACTTAGCCTGTTCGCTCGGCTTTACAGGCAAGCATTGTATGTAAAATCGTCAGCCTCATTTGTTGACGTACATACATAACTACACAGTATGCACCAATATTTCGTAGGGGCACAATCATTAGTATACCAATGCGCAGTACACGAGTACTGGATTGACGTCGTAGATCAAACTGAGCATCAATCTCGATGCATCATGTATGTTTATTTTTAATTACCAGTACCACAATCCAATCACTTCGCCTTGACCTTCAAACTAAACCCCTCTGGCCCCATGTGAGTAAGACCTGCCCCACGGTTACACTTACCTCGACTCCCCAAGGTAGGCAGCAAGACCTGGGAGAAAAACAAAAAGAAGACCAGGAAAAATTCCCTGCGAGGGTAGCTTTTCCCGGAATCCGTTAACCCCAATATAGCAAGTCCTGACCACGCAGTGTTTCTCAACGCAACAGCTTTCAACTTATCCCAGTGGGGGGATAATAGATCGACAACGGCAGGATTTGAACCTACGACCCCGAAGGGATACGATTGCAAGATATATAGATATACCGTAGATGTATATGTATTTCTAGTCGTACGCTTTAACCACTCAGCCACGTTGCCATGTTCAATTCGTTGTCTAACAGCACCTAGCTAATCCCGCCGTGGTGGGAAGAGGAAAAAGTTTAAAGCCATCGTGAATCCACTAGTACAGTGCCAAAAAAAAAATAAAAAAAAATGAAAAGTCCCTAGCGCAATCCAGTCAGTCAACTTTGACAGGTCCCGGTAGTAGGGTAACGGTAGCTGAATACCGGACCACGCCGAAGCCTTGTCAGCAAAGCTAAGTGATTCGGGGCAAATAGCCAGCCATTCCGCGGACGATGGCCAGATAGTTAGCGTCCAAGACAGGCTTGAACGAGCCCGCTGCCGCCACAGTATATACATGTATACCTACTAGAATAGAAACGTTCCGTTCGGATGGCCGGACCTATCGGGTCATCTGGCGAACGAATGATGATTGATTGATTGGGCTCAAGGGGCGGGACACCAGAGAAGAAAAAAAACAATGAAATCCTACTTGCAAGTCATTACATCATCGAAAGGAAATCTCGCGCCCGCCCCCTCGTCTGGTGATGACGAACCCTGTCTGCCTGTCGTGCTCTCTTTTGTGTATATGTGTTTCAGAGACGAACATATGACTAGGAATCTCACCCCGGGGGTTGTAGTTCCACCGCCCGAATGTCGCTGGCGACTCACGTGGAGCCACGCCGTTTTTCCTTAGGCTTACCTCACCGCTGGGCTGCTCACACTCTCGAAGATCTCGGGTAATGGATGATCCTTAGAGCTGAATGCGGAGGTCACGAGGGAAACGTTGCCGTGAAGGGCGCACAATGTCAGATAGATGGAGAAGAAGAAGTGTTACAGGACAGTCAATTATTCATCGTAAACATCCCGTTCGCAGTCTATGCTAGATATCTAATGCAACGACTTGGAACAGTCAAAGGTATTCAATTTTTCACCAAAGCTTTCTGCCCTCTCCTCCCCCTCTCTTCTCCCCCTAAGAAATAAGCAGAGTCTGACAACCTGAGTGTGTTCGTGCTCTTGTCTCTCCGTGTTCTTCCGTACAATTCGTGAAACAATGCTCATGTGATGTGTGATGCAACCATAGATCCCAGAGAGGTTATGCCAATAAGAGAGAGAAAGAGAGAGAGTGTGTACGACCGTGAAGCCCTTTCTCATCTTCCTGGAAGGTCCAAACGAAATGAACATGAACATTCTGGTAGAATTCCAAACTTTCCCTTGAAAAAAAGAAGAGAAAAAAACGCCGAATTACCCATACCAATCATTCCCTGAGGAAGGTTTGTGCAAAATCGTCTATAAGTGGAATTGTAGCGGCCGTAAATCATATGCAAATAAGGTGGTGTCTCCATTACGTCCCGCGTGGAGACAAGGCGGTTTGGGTTTCGTGTCATAATGGTCAAATACGCTTGTCGTTCTTCGCTTTCGTATCCAGAAACAAACAAACAAAAAATAAAGAAAGAAAACCACAGTGAAACGCCAGCCACCCGGCTACTAGATGCCTTGGGTGATGCGATGATGTTCTCGTGAAACGGCGTATGTCGAGAGGAGATGGTGCGGCGGCAACATAATTTTTTTCATGTGATCCCAGTCTGATTCCAATCCGAGTTTCCATGTGGTACCAGGCGATAGTCGCATGCGTAAGAGGGTATTCAGTCAATCATTCGTCTTCGCGCGTCAACACGTTCCCGCCAGGGTAGACACCGCCGTTGAGAACGTATTGCTCGAAAGGTAGACAGCTGATGGTCTTGCGTGACGATCGAACCCATTTCGGCGTAGGGACGTCGTTCCAATTTTCGTCGGTAAGGGGGTAGAAGTTGTAGGTCTCGTGCGACGGCAGGTCTTGGTGCTCGCAATCGAATATACCCTCGAGGTGCATGCGCTCTAGCTTCGGGAGCTTCACTCGCAGGCCGGTGAATAGCGATCGGAAGGTTCCTTCGTAGAGGTGTATGCCCCCGTGTGATGCCTCGAACGGTTTGGCCAGCCCGCGACCGCCCAGTCGTAGTCGCACCAAGGTGGTACCGTGTCGCCCCAAAAACTCCTTGAGATCCTCTTCATCACACGATACGCCCTCCAGTATTAGGTCGGTGAGCCGTTTGTAGGTAAAATCAAAAAATAATTCACCGAAAGTGAGCGCAAACCTCGAGTGTTCGCTCGAATAAGGGTGGAAGGCAAGCTTCAGATGTGTTACATTCGTGGCGAGTTGAAGTATGCGACCCAGTCCATTCACCGCCCGAAATGCCGACGTCGGCCCCCGGAGCCCGGAAGGATCCAAAGTCAGGTTCAGGCTAGACAGGCTATTGAAGGATTGAGCATGTGTGAACCAATGGAGGCGGTGGTTTGTCAGTCGAAAAATCTCGAGCGGCAGTCTGTCTACTTTGAACGACGAGAGCTTGATCCCGTGCAGCGCGAACATGACCGCATCCAGGTTCTGGTACGTTTCCTGTCGGTCCAGCTTCCTGCAGTTAGGCCAGAAGAAGGCCTCCTGGATAAACTTGTTGTTCAGTGTGGATGGGCATTGCGCAAAGGAAACCTCGAGATCGCGAAGATTCGGCAAGGCCGAGCAGGCCTCGCGAAGGTCGTCAGCCCTCAGATGGAGTGGTCCGACCTTCTTACGCCCTTTGGCAATCCTGTCGAATTCTACTCGAGCCTGTGCCATCAGCTCGGCACGTTCCTCCGGAGGGGCCACAAAGTGCTGGGCCCTACTTAGGTGTATATTAGCTAGGAACTGACAAGACGGGAAATAACAGAATAATTCAGCCGGAGCACTTCCTCTCGGTGCGGGTCCCTGAGAAGAAAGTCCCCCCCCAGCGAAAGGTGCGATGTTACACGGCAATCAATTAAGGAACTTACCATGAGGTACTCCATGCATCATAGTACGACAGTTCTCCGAGGAAAATGTTGATTGACTGGATACTGCCTCGGAGGCGTTCGTGGAGTGCGATGTTGTGTAGCCGATCAATATCAAGGCGCCAATTGAGCGAGGTGAAAAGTGGCGATAACAGGTATTCATAACCGACATCTGCCAGTTTGGGGCTCGCGGCGCGCAAATTGGGAACCGATTCGAGATCACAGTACGAGTAGATGAGCCTCAAAAGCTCGACGGGTAAAGAATCCATGGAGGGGTGGGAGCGAAGAGGCGAAGGATTCTGCTGACTGGTAGGCGGGATGGGAAAATAATTAACTAGGTTGGTCAAGTACTTGTGGAAAATCCGCCAAACTCCGCCAGATGTTCAAGACACTACGAGATTGAATGATGGAATGAATTCATAAAAACGAAACGCCGGCACAGGAAACTCGGGGGATGTTGTATCTAAAAAAAGAGAGAGAAAGATTTCGGGTTCTCTTTCTGAGTCGACAGGAGGATGCAGACTGGGAAATATAAATATATATATATATATGCCAGGGCCCAAGAGAGAAGCAAACAAAAAATAAGGCGTCGTGCAGCGGTTCTTAATAAAGAGGCGGAGAGAGAGGTTCATTTGTGCTCTTCTGCAGCAAGCAAGCCAAGCGTCTCCGATTTAGGACAAAGAGGGAAAGCGACTAGAAGTATCGGTGAGAGTGAGACACACGTAGGCGCATGCTGGTATCTGACGGGCAGCAGCAGAAAAGAAGTTTTCTCGTGGAATGACTGGCGGGCGAGACTGGCCGAACTGGGCCCTGGTCGGGATGGATCTGACTACCCAGTATCGCGCTCGCAGAGAGCCTGACAGCAGACGACCACGAAGCGGAAAATAAGATATACGTACATACAAATCGCCAAAGTAGCGGTATAGTAGCGGTAAAGCGGGTGTACCCCCCTTGGTGTCACACCTGCAGCAACCTTCGTCGACCATGCCCGAAAGAGGACGTGACGGTGAGAAGGTGCTGCACAGTCCTTCCCGCGGGGCCTCCTACTGTGGCCTGCCACTATTAGTACCTGCATTAGATCCCACGAGGCAGCTTGACACTGTGGTTTCTCGGTGAAGCTGCGACGAGATGCGACCTCCTTCCAAGAGAGAGAGAGATAGATCACTGTGATTCGCCTGCGTCATGCTGGGTCGCCAAGGGTGCCTGGTCGCGCGCCAGCTCGCCAGCTCAGCCGGCCCCCGAATCGCTACCCAACGGGAAGGGTTTTGGTAACGAGAACCAAGAAAATCTTCTGGTGTGACCGAGCTGGATGGAGAGTAAACAACTTAGCTAAGTCAGTCAGGCCAGTCAGCATGGACAACAACTTTCAAACACGAGTCAATACCAATACTGTAGCGTAAGTCTGATGATATCCTATTTCTTATTTGCTGCGTAACACGCGCTGGAGGGTATCATATATAAAAACGAATAATTCGCACGAACAATCGCCCCATCCGTCCATCTATCAATCCATATTCATCTCAGATGCCTGGTACGTCACATCGCCATTTTTTTTTTCTCTCTCTATAAAACATGCATGATATCCACCAACAACTGGTCCCGGTAGACAGGCACTTCTATTCCAAGCTGTCGGCAATCGTAGCCCGAATGGGTGCAGGCCACGCCGCCAAGAGGATTCCTCAACACGTCAGTAGTCTAGCGCCAGATGCTTTCGAGACCGCAAGATGTTGAGTGCCTATAGCTTTCCATGTCGTGCCCGAAAGATTCCCACATCTTCATCGTAGTAAAGAATTTCACGTAGTCCCAGCCGTGGGAGTGAATCATTCGCTGTCTCTTCCATAAAAGAATCCGCCTCTGATTGGTCGTCGCTTTCCTCTGTATTTTCATTCTCGGCATCCATAAGTGGTCCAACTTCCTCGTCATCGTCATCGTCGTCTTCTTCATCTTCATCGGTTATATCATCGCCTTCACTATTCCCTCCATTGTTCGTAGATACGACATGATCATTGCCGTCTTGGGAACGATTGTCACGTTTTACCTCTGTAATCTCGAAGCACTTATGCCAGAGTCCTACGTAGGTAAGTTGTATCTCTCTTCTCATACTAATTATATCCGGAACCTGAAGCGCGAGCTCTTTCGGTGTCGGCGACGACCTGGAGTCGCGACCTACCATTTGCGGAATATAGAGAGAGCGC